CCTGTCTGGCCAAGTTCGAGAAGCATTCTCTCCTGATGTTTTGCCTGCATCTAAGGCAGGCTGAAGTTGGGTTGTTGTGAGTTTTCCAGCCTGTCAGGCCAAGTTCAAGAAGCATTCTCTCCTGACATTTCACCCATATCTGTGGCAGGCTGAAGTTGGCCTGTCTGGCCAAGTTCCAGAAGCATTCTCCTCTGACGATTTGCCTGCATTTAAGGCAGGCTGAAGTTGGGTTGTGAGTTTTCTGGCCTGTCTGGCCAAGTTTGAGAAGCATTCTCTCCTGACGTTTCGCCTGCATCTAATTCCACAGTGGAAAATGCCTGGATGGGACCCCTCCTCAAAGATAAGGGAAATCAGAAGAAGACAGGGAGAAACTTCTGCCAATTGTGGAAACTGGTCCTTCGTGGGAGGAAAGATTCAGGAAGGATTTGCCTGTGAAGGACCTTGGCACAAGGATGGTCATTTCAAGGCCTGGTGGAGATCTCCTGCCAGGTCAGGAGACACTCACCTGAAAGGTCATCTCGGTGGGAGGAAAAATGTCATCCCCTCCCGATTTTTTTCTGCGCGTGGAGGCGTCACGCGTGGGCCAAACTGCTCCGGTGTGGAGCCAGACCCTTTGCGACTTGATACGCAAAGAGAATCCGGAGGTGGAAGCACCAGTTTCTGGCTCCGAAGAGGTCCCCTCGGTGCCAGAGAGAAGCAAGATCCCGAGTGGACCCTTCTGCGTGGGAAGGAGCGCCGAGAGATCACTTTGGGCCCCGATCCGGCGCCAATCCGGATTGCCCAAGGAAGCCTCCGTCCCCCACTCACCTTGGCCGGGCTCTGCTCTCCTCCCCTTGCAACATAGTCCTGCCTTGGGGCTGTTCTGCAAGAGAGATCCTCCGGAGAGACACTGGATCCCTTCCTTCCTCTCTGCACCCGCTCTCTCGATCCGCTCCTTCTGCTTCGGTCGGGGGAGCTTGACCCGGAGCGGAGGCGGGAGAGCGCCCACTCGGCAGCGACATCGCGTGGCCGCGCCGAGGTACTGCACCTCCCACGGAAAACTGGCTTGGAGTCCTAGAAGAGTTGAGTTGGAAGAGACACTGCATGGGCCATCCAGTCCAGCCCCCTTGCAGAAGCACAATCAAAGCACCCCTTACAGATGGCCATCCAGTCGTAATTAATAATAATAATAATAATAATAACAAATATAATACATAATAAATAATATAATATAATACATATAATATACACCAACAATAATAATAATAATAATAATAATAGAGTTGGAAGAGACCACATGGGTCATCCAGTCCAGCCCCTTTATGCCTTTCAGGAGAAGCACAATCAAAGAATCCCTAACAGATGGCCATCTAGTCATATTTAATAATGATAATAATAATAATAATAATAATAATAATAATAATAATAATAGAGTTGGAAGAGACCACATGGGCCATCCAGTCCAGCCCCTTTCTGCCATGCAAGAGAAGCACAATCAAAGCACCCCTTACAGATGGCCATCCAGTCATAATAATAATAATAATAATAATAATAATAATAATAATAATAGAGTTGGAAGAGACCACATGGGTCATCCAGTCCAGCCCCTTTCTGCCATGCAAGAGAAGCACAATCAAAGCACCCCTTACAGATGGCCATCCAGTCATAATAATAATAATAATAATAATAATAATAATAATAATAATAATAGAGTTGGAAGAGACCACATGGGCCATCCAGTCCAGCCCCTTTCTGCCATGCAAGAGAAGCACAATCAAAGCACCCCTTACAGATGGCCATCCAGTCATAATAATAATAATAATAATAATAATAATAATAATAATAATAATAATAATAGAGTTGGAAGAGACCACATGGGCCATCCAGTCCAGCCCCTTTCTGCCAGGCAGGAGAAGCACAATCAAAGCATTCCGTACAGATGGCCATCCAATAATAATAATAATAATAATAATAATAATAATAGAGTTGGAAGAGACCACATGGGTCATCCAGTCCAGCCCCTTTATGCCTTTCAGGAGAAGGCAGACACACATGGGCAATCATTCCGCCCCTTTCTGCCAGGCGATCTTGGAGAAGCACAATAAAAGCATCCACAACAGATGGCCATTCAGTCATAATTAATAATAATAATAATAATAATAATAATAATAATAATAATAATAATAATAATAAAGTTGGAAGAGACCACATGGGCCATCTAGTCCAACCGCCCGCCATGCAGGAGAAGCACAATGAAAGCATCCACGACAGATGGCCATCCAGTCATAATAATAATAATAATAATAATAATAATAATAATAATAATTGGAAGAGACCACATGGGCCATCCAGTCCAACCCCTTTCTGCCATGCAGGAGAAGCACAATGAAAGCATCCCCTACAGATGGCCATCCAGTAATAATAATAATAATAATAATAATAATAATAATATAATAGAGTTGGAAGAGACCACATGGGCCATCCAGTCCAGCCCCTTTATGCCTTTCAGGAGAAGCACAATCAAAGAATCCCTAACAGATGGCCATCTAGTCATATTTAATAATGATAATAATGGTAATAATAATAATAATAATAATAATAATAATAATAGAGTTGGAAGAGACCACATGGGCCATCCAGTCCAGCCCCTTTCTGCCAGGCAGGAGAAGCACAATCAAAGCATTCCGTACAGATGGCCATCCAATAATAATAATAATAATAATAATAATAATAATAATAATAATAGAGTTGGAAGAGACCACATGGGCCATCCAGTCCAGCCCCTTTCTGCCATGCAAGAGAAGCACAATCAAAGCACCCCTTACAGATGGCCATCCAGTCATAATAATAATAATAATAATAATAATAATAATAATAATAATAGAGTTGGAAGAGACCACATGGGTCATCCAGCCCAGCTCCTTTCTGCCATGCAAGAGAAGCACAATCAAAGCATCCCTAACAGATGGCCATCTAGTCATATTTAATAATGATAATAATGGTAATAATAATAATAATAATAATAATAATAATAGAGTTGGAAGAGACCACATGGGTCATCCATTCCAGCCCCTTTCTGGCATGCAAGAGAAGCACAATCAAAGCATCCCCAACAGATGGCAATACAAAATCAATAATATAAATAAACATACTAATACTACTACTAATAATTGGAAAGAGACCATACATACTCCCGTTTTTGGGCTCCAGCTCACAGCAATGTGCATTTCCATTAACTAAATGGAAGGAGTCCCTAATAAAATAATAATAATCATACTAATCATAAGCTTCATTTGTAGAAGAGACACATCCGCGATGGCCCATCCAGTCCAGCCCTTTCTGCCAAACAGAAAGGCACAATCCAAGATTCATCAGAAGCAGGTTTTCATAAAACTAATAAGAATTAATAATCAATAATAATATAATAATAATACTAAATTGGAAGAAAACACATTGGGTCATCCAGCTCCAGTCCCTCGCATGCAAATAGAGTTGTGTTCCTAGTTGGGCCCAACTCCCATACAGTCATATAATATAATAATAATAATAATAATAATAATAATAATAATAATAATAGAGTTGGAAGAGACCACATGGCCCATCTAGTCCAATCCCCCTCCATGCAGGAGAAGCACAATCGAAGTACCCTTACAGATGGCCATCCAGTCATAACAACTACAACAATAACATCGGCGCTGACAAGATTACCATTTGCCAGCTGCAGAAAGCCACCTTACTGGGATCTGCACGCATTATTCGCTGATACATCACACAGTCCTAGACACTTGGGAAGTGACCAATGTGTGATCCAATACAACAGCCAGCCGAGTTTCTGCTGTGGACTCATCTTGTCGTGTTTCAAAAAGTAATAATAATAAAATAATAATAATAATAATAATAATAATAATATCTCCTCGTTAGCTGTGATTCTGGGGGTTGCAGCCCACCCAAAGCAACCTTCCCAAGCCTTGTTAATCTTGTTGTGTTTCAAATAATAATAATAATAATAATAATAATAATAATAATAATAATAGAATTGGAAGAGACCACATGGGCCATCTAGTCCAACCCCCTGCCATGCACAAGAAGCACAATCGAAGTACCCCCGACAGATGGCCATCCAGCCTCTGCTAAATAATAATAAAGGTTTTTAAAAAAGGTTTTCCCCTGACATTAAGTCCAGTTGTGTCCTACTTTGGGATTCTGGTGCTCATCTCTATTTCTAAGCTGAAGAACCAGCATTGTCCACAGACACGTCCAAGGTCATGTGGCTGGCATGACTGCTTGGAGTGCCGTTCCCTTCCTGCCGGTGTGGTACCTATTGATCTACTCACATTTGCATGTTTTTGAACTGCTAGGTTGGCAGAAGCTGGGGCTAACAGCTTCTTATTAATTATTATTATTATTATTATTATTATTATTATTATTATTATTTATTAATTAAATTAATTATTAATTCATTTAAATTATTAGTTATTAGTTAATAATTTAGTTTATTTGTTTGCTTATCTATTTTATTTATTTACTACACTTATTTACCACCCCTCTCAGCCCGAAGGCGACTCAGGGTGCTGGTCTGCCCTCCTGGACCAGCCCAGGCCAGAGCTTCCTGTCAGCCGTGGCCACCCCCAGCTCCTTCAAGGTCAGTCCAGTCACTTCAAGGATACCATCCATGCGCCTTACCCTTGGTTGGCCCCTCTTCCTTTTTCTTTCCATTTTCCCCAGCATCAGCCTCAAGCACAACCTCCAGATGCAGGAAATGGGAGAAGCTTTTACCTCTGTTTACGTTTTGCCTGTCCTTGGTAATTGTTTAATCGGCATTGAATGTTTGCCGTATATGTGCTCTGTAATTCTCTCCGAGTCCCCTCGGGGAGATACAGCGGAAAATACATAAAGTATATTATGTATGGAAGGGCCTTAGTGTCTGATCTATTATGGTCCTTTTGTATCCCGATGCTGTCCCCTGAGGTCTTAGAAACCCATCCTATTTTGGTATCATTTGCTAATTGTCTGAGTATCATAGAATCTTAGACTTGGAAGAGACCTCATGGGCCATCCAGTAGAACCCCATTCTGCCAAAGAAGCAGGAAAATCACATTCAAAGCACCCCCGACAGATGGCCATCCAACCTCTGCTTAAAAGCCTCCAAAGAAGGAGCCTCCACCACACTCCCTCCGGGGCAGAGAGTTCCACTGCTGAACAACTCTCTCTCACAGTCAGGAAGTTCTTCCTAATGTTCAGGTGGAATCTTCTTTCTTGTAGTTTGAAGCCATTGTTCCATTGCGTCCTAGTCTCCAGGGAAGCAGAAAGGAAGCCTCCTCCCTCCTCCTTACGACTTCCTCTCACATATTACTACATGGCCATCATGTCTCCTCTCCGCCTTCTCTTCTTCAGGCTAAACATGCCCAGCTCTTTAAGCCGCTCCTCATAGGGATTGTTCTCCAGACCCTTGTACTCCAGAGTATGCCTTTTCCCCATCATGTAAACATATTTATACATGGCCCTCATCATGTCTCCTCTCAGCCTTCTCTTCTGCAGGCTAAACATGCTCAGTTCTTTAAGCCACTCCTCATAGGGAGTGTTCTCCAGACCCTTGTACTCCAGTGTATGCCTTCTTTTCCATCATGTAAATTGTAAAATAAATTTGTTAAATAATAATAGTAATAATAATGTAAAATAATGAATATTTTTCTGTTCCTGGTTTGAAAGTGTTATTTCCTATTTAATTGTGTAGTTCTTTCTTTGAAAGTCATTGTTCTGCTCCAGAAACTTCGTTTTTGTGATTGCCGCAAACTACGTTGAATTGGTTGAGAGTCAATGAGATTGTCATTCAAAAACTAGAGCAAAATGTGCTATAGTAGAATTTCCCACAGAAACAAAGTTTTTGCAGTTTAATAAACTTTGTCTATGTTTTTGTAATAGACCCAATTAGGAAGTGACATGTATAACCCAGGAACAAAAAATGTGTTACATAGTGTAATAA